AGCACCTTACACGTGACAGTGCGATTTAGCTCAATTCTGCCCCCAGTTTTGGAGGAGCCCGGGGTGGGATTGGAACAAGGTTCTCACATCCCTCTCTTCTTCCACCAAACCACACGAGAGGACTTTCAGCTCGCCGCATATTTAGAGCGCCATCATGCCTCGCCGACACCACGCATTTATAAACATCCATGCCTTCTCCGAGATTTCGAACTCCCTTGTCTGACAGTAACATCAGCACAAGCCCAAGCAATTCATCGTGGCAAAGAAAGCAAGATTGCGCCTGTCCTTGGGAAGAGCCTTGATCACCATATAGGTGACTATATGACTTTTCTAGTTAACCTTACTCATCCTTGGGATCGAATCCCCGACCTGTGGGGCTGATTTAACGTGCATATTTGTTTAATCGTAAATAACTTCTTTTATCAACGTAAAAATCATTATATATTCTATTACCTAATAATAAACGCGAACTAATATTAGATTTATCTTGTTTGCTTTTCTAATTTCTTTATTTTAGTGGAGAGGGCATGCATTTTGTTTCTACAATCAATATGCTTAAATTTAGCAAGTAGAACAATAAACAAAGTGTTTTCTTGTGAAACTATTATTTCCAAAATACTTCTTTAAAATTTTACAGAAAAAATTTCTTTTATTTGCTGCAAAATACCTTGACCTGAATAGCTTTGCTTATTTCAGCGTAATATAGTTTTTTTTAAACATCTCTTTGTCTTTGACAAAGAATATTTCGAAGGTGAAACTGTGTCAGTCACATAGATGATTTATTCTGAACGCCCACCTCCTTCTTAGAATTTATTTATTCATGACTGCTGCTGTAACCGTAACTGCATTTTTGTTGACGTCGTGGGATGTTTTCATGCATATATTGGGATCAAATTCTAGGCCCAGTGATGAGAATATCTTTTATGAATGGTGCTGCTCTTGCTATGATGCCAGATTTCGATATATTTTTTGTCGGGAGGGAGATTTAGAGATATAGGTTATTCTATTCGTTAATATTTTAACTATTAGATTTCTTCCCGTTATCTGAGGGTTTTTTGTGTTTTCTGTTTGCAATAATTAATTTAGTGGGTCAGAGATATATTTAAATTACTCTTATCTGCTATTGAAATAAACACTATTTCCTCTTTTACAAAACTAATGCCGTCTTATAATATACTGCTCTCACAAAAGTCTTTCCCAGTCTTTATTTTCTCAACCGTTGGTCGTAAACATAGACTTTCAATTACAAAAATGTTTTAAATGATGCAAAATACTATGCACGGGAATTTTTGAATTTAAAATCCTGATGTGGGCAACACATGACGTACAGTCTAAGTACACTGCTCAAAACAATTAAAGGATATTGTAAGTTTTATATAAAATAAAGATATAAGCGAAATTTGTTTTGCGGAAAATTGAAGAAGAGAATCACAAATGCAAATTTTTCTGATTTTCAAACTGTGGAGTATGCTAATTTTGAGTTCGACGTCAAACGTCGCTTCGCCGCAGCGAATGAATTTGGCTCAGCAAAGACAATGCGACAAGGATGATTGGCATTCAGTGCTGCTTGTTTCGATGAGTACGATGTCTCCAGCGAAGTCCCTTTAACCGATTCAGCAGAGCTGGAGAGTTGTGGTAGTTTAGTTTAGGGGGGACCAAACTCAAGCGAAGTAGTGCAAGCCATTGGAGTGTCACAAAGTATGATTTCCAGGATCTGGAACCGTTTTTTGGAAACTGGAAGTGTAGACCGAACACCAGGGCAAGGTCGTAGACGGGCAACAACGCCCAATGAAGATCGTTATTTAGTGTTAACGACTCGGAGACATCGAAATATGAATGCTACTCTTCTCCAACAACACCTCCGCTCGGCTACTGGCAGCACTGTTTCAACTCAGACTGTCCGAAACCGAGTCCGTGGTGTAGGTTTGTATGCTCGCCGACCGATGATATGTGTTAGACTCATATCAAGGCATCTTCGCGACCGCAGGGAGTGGGCAACAGAGCATGTGAAACTGGAGGAGAAATGAATGGAGCAATGTTCTTTTTTTCTGAGAGTCCCGTTTTTTTTTTTCTGTTCGTCGGGATAATAGGCGTATTTCATCTGGAGGGGACCGTGGCAGTAGGAATAATCCTGCCTTCGTGCACGAAAGTGTCAGATTGGGGGGGGGGGGGAGTGGTGTGTATGGTGGCATCTCCATTGACGGGCGCCCAGACCTCTACAATCATTCGAGATGGACCTGACTGGTCGCCGATATCGAGGGATCCTCAGACCTATTGTAGTCCCTTACGCTGCAGCAATCGGAGATGACTTCATTTTAATGGACGATAACTGCAGGTCACATTGTGCTAACCTGGTGGAGGATTTCCTTTTCGAGGAAGGAATCGTATGAATGGAATGACCAGCGTGTTCTCCAGACATGAATCCAATAGAGCACGTTTGGGACGCTCTAGGAAGACGAGTTGCTGGCCGCCAATTACCCCCACAAACTCTCTAAGAACTGGAAAGAGCTCTTCTGAAAGAGTGGGACAGAATACCCCAACTCGTGATTAATAGCCTCATTGTTTCCATGCCTCAAAGGTGTTCAACGTTGCTGGTCGTCCGTGGAAACCATACCCCCTACTGAAAATGATTTCCTTTGATTCAAGTTTAAAAGAAAAGTTGAAAACACCTTTTCTTATTATTTTTTTCTCATTATGCACAAATTGTGCTTGTTTCCTTTTGTACACAAAATGCATTTTTTTTTCTGCCAAACATGTGTAATTTATTCTTTTATAACCTACTACGTCTGTCGACCACGTATCAATCAGCTAAAAAGTTTCCCAGCCACAAGATCCACCTAAAACCGCAATATCCTTTAATTGTTTTGAGCAGTGTATATGCATATATTGCAGTATTTCATTTAATTACTTATTTCATCGAATTATTCTAACTTAATTAACCAATCCCTCAAAATAAGTTAAACATGATATCAAAGATTGAAAATTTTAAAAATTAGATATCCCGCTCAATTTCTGTCGTCGGGAGTCAAACTTCTTTTTTTTTTTTTTTTTTTCCTAACGAGTATCTAAATCTTTCCTAAATATAAGAGCTGGAAAATCGCATTAAAAGTAAGATTTCGGTATTTGTCCGAAATTATTATTTTCTAAACTTGACATTGCCAAAACATGAATATTTTCGTCAATTAAATACTTCTCTAATTAGAACTGTACAACTGCGACCAACTTTTGCGAAAATAAAAGCCGAGTAAGGACATTTGTGGACTCAGTACAAATTATTTATCATAAGTAGATATATTAAGGACCGTTTGGCTATTTCTGGTACAGAGTTATGCTAATAAAAGCAATAAATAAAAAGCTAACGATAAGCTAACCGTGGCAGATTTTAGTAAGAGCATTCGTTGGTAGAAACCATTTTTCCGGCATAATGAACAAATTGTTGTTAAATGCTTGGTTAGTAAAATATAAAATAATAAAAAAGAAATTTGAAACAAATTTTTAACTTTACTGATTTGCAAGGTAAATAAGTAAACAAAAATTAAAATTACCAGAAATTAGTTTTACATTCTCATTGTGATTTTATCCTTAAAGCAGGGAGTAAAAGTAATTTCGCAACACTTTCTGCTTTTTATTAACAATGTCAGATAATTTATTAGATAAGCGAAGAAAAATTAAAATAAAGTTAACCAGGTTTTCGTAATTAATAATGAATTGTAACAATCAGTAAAATCTGGTTTTAGGGATAAAACAAATTAACATGTGAATTACATAATAATGCACATAATACTCGCATTTATCTTGTTGAAATTTGATTTAAATATTAAGTGCCTGTGATATAGTAGGGTAACTTATTTTGGACGTGAACGCTTCTGAAACTGGAGCAGACGCACTAAAACTAATTATCTTTTTAAATATGAATAAAAATTTTATTCAATCTTGATCTTTAAAAAAACATTAAAACAAACAAAGAAACAAAAAAGGGGGGATAAATCTGAGCACATTTTTCGTGAGAGAAAAAAATGTAACTTTGAGAAAAATAAATAAATCTTCTTCTTTTTTACTCTTTATATTTTTGACACTGCAAATCGTTAATTAAAACATTAAAGGGCTTTCTTAAAGACTTTTAATAATGGAATCAAGTGAGTCAATATTCGTGCACGGACGTTTGGAATAATGTTCGTAGTCGCAGCTTTTACTTTCGTCCAAAGCTTAATCGCTGCATTCATATCATTGACATTTTTTTCTTTCTGTAAAATAATTATTAATTTTGCCTCTAAAAGGCAATTCTGTTATGAATAACGGAAATGGTAATACACTATGTCCATAAAAGAATGTCCCAGTTAGAAGTTTTAATAATATCAACTGCAAGCGTTGTAGAATGTTGGTTCAATTGAAGAGGTATTATCAAGGTAATAAAATTCTTATAATGTTTTATTATATTTCCTCGATTCTAAAACATACCTCTTAATTGTAAATGCCACGTATTGAAAAAATTCAAAAATTTTGATTCGAGAAAAATAAATTATATAAAGCACTAAAATAATCTAAAAAATACTTTTTCCATAATCGAAATCGATTTAATAAAAATAATAGTATATTAAATTATAATTTGAAAATATTTGAATATATTATATATACTTTATTTAAATTAATAATTCGAAAAAAATATTACTTGGGATAAATTAGAAATGCTAAAAAATCTGCATTTTAAAACTTTGTCCTTTTCCAGAATAATGAATTTAAGCAGCAAAGAATATTTCAGTTTCCATTTCTCTGCGATCCAGATTTCGAAATGCTTGCACAAAGAATACTTTAAAATCTAGTGATTGCTCTTGGCTATGTACTTTTTCCTTCATCATTGTGAAATGGGAGCTGTTTACCTCGATGTGCGTTTTTTTTTATTTTCATGTGTCTGACTTCATAGATTTATTTAACATAGTATACTTGAAAAGTACATTTCATTCGGACATACATCGAATCAAACAAAGATTTTTCAATTTCAGGAAAGTTCGCCGTAGGCATACCTCTTGGGAACAGCAAAGATTATATAACATCAAGAATCCCTTGATGGGTAAAAGCTTAGGTAATCCTTATGGTAGCAGAAGTACACCAAATGGTACAGTGGATAACATCAAAGCAGCTTACGCAAATGGTGATCTTTCCGTGTAAGTAAATTTTTTGTACTCTGTTAAACTTTTCTCTAAAATATTACTACGAGTTACTGTAAGAGAGCCATTTCGTTTCTGCATAACAGTTACGTTAGGACTTTTAGCCACTGACTGTAAAATTCAAAGATCAGATTAGCTTTTACTATGATGTACTAGTCTAAAAAATTATGGTGAGTTTGAAAAAAAAGCACATAAATGTAGAACAAATTTCCGAAATAATAAGAAGTTTCTGCGAGCAACCGATTCAAGCATGCATGAGTTTAGCCAGTCCAGCATACTGCCCTATTTCAAGGCTTTCAGATCAACCACCGCAAATAGGAAAATGCAGGAAGTTTCTTTAAAAGGTATCAAGCTACTCAGAATGTAACGGAAACAGGTCTGAAACTTTAATATAATTTGGTAGAAACTTGGAATCTACTTTCTGCGAACAACTATTCTGACCCACGGCTACTCAGTGTGAGATAATGTGCTGTTGAATTAGCACCTGGACTGAGTCCTGTTCTCGTCTACAACAAGTAGGTCAGCAAATCTGCATTTTATTTTAACTTGGGCATTATTGGAAGAAACTATTTCAATAATTAAAAAAGATACACTCAAGGGTGTTGAAATGAGTGAAATTCAAATATAACTGTAGTACTGCTTAGTGTGAGATTCAGAAATCTACTTACAGTCACTGTGCATAAGACAGAAATAGGACAGTACTGGACCTTACTCAACGGTGTACCACCTTCAACTGGAACAGTCCTGAGGCAGAATGATTATTTATAAATGTGCAAGCCAGTCCACTCCAATTTTCTTTCAAATACTATTGCACAGAAACATTAAAAGTGCCTGGCCACTTCTAGGATAGACCTCGTAGTAGCTGCAGACCATAAAATCCCAACATTATTCTTGCAAAGATCTTTTAAAAGAATCGTTTTCTTAGTCAACCCCCTTTCATTTTGCTGTATAATAATTGTTGCATACAACATGATCACAATACAAATAACGGCGCACTTATAACTGAAACATAACAATAATAATTGCACTAAAATGTTAACTAAAACTAAACTCAGTGGCACAACATGTTGACACATTCATATTTTCATGCTGATACATTAATATTTTCAATTTCTTGGAAGAGCATATTAATATCTTCTTCTAAATTTTGCAAGTGGCTTGTGTATAACAGTATATTTTCTTATGAAGCTTTACGTTCTTCGTATTTTTGGGCAGTATTTTCTAGTGTTTCTGATTTTAACATTTCTATATTGTACTTTTTGTATAAAAATTATACATTTTAAAAAGGTATTATTGTTTTTTTAAAATACTGTAATATTTTTGTGAATATATTTTTAAGAATTTACCCCTGATATTTATTTTATATGATTTCTTCTTTACTACATGATATGGATTTATATAAAAAAATAATTAATCTTTATTTTTACAATATTAGTAATTGTTTTCTAATCAATAGGACCTTCATTATGCCGATCAATTACCCGTGCATATTTGGATATCAACTCCCAATTAAACCCTTGATCATCATTCAACCCCTTTAAAATTTCATCGACCCTCAAGTACTGATCCCTTTGAGAACTCCCCACTATTCCTCCTTTGCATTCCTTGCCAAACCATAGTATGAAATGGATTCTAGCACAGCTGGGAGTGCGAGACTACACCTGTCTGTCTGTCAAATACGACAGCAAAGTACTGATGTCTCTGTCTTCAATTACCTGTTATCTACTGTAGATATTAGCGGTCTGTCTACCTCCGTGCAGAAAAACGATGAAATGTTGATCATTACTGACCCCCTTTCAAAACTTTGTCTACTGATTCTGTCAAGAATTCCTGCTGTAGACGTTAGTGGCATGTATACTCTCCGCGCTGTCGAACGGTGAAATATTGATCCTTGATCAGCATTGATTGACCCCCTTCAAAATTCTATCTGTCCTACGTACTGACCCCGTTGGGAACTTCTACTATAGACTAAGTATCATATCTAGCCTCGGTGCAGTCGAACGATAAAATGTTGACTTTTTGATCATCATTAGTCTCCTTTTAGACTTCATCGCCCCAAGTATTGACCCCGTTTGGAACTCCTGCTGTAGACGTTAGTGGCATATCTACCCTTCGTGTAGTCGAAAGAGGAAATATTGACCCCTTTTGAAAATTTCATCGAACTCAAGTACTGATTCCGTTGAGAATTTATTGCCGTGGATGTTAGCTGCACGCGAACTCTCCGTGCAGTGAAACGATGAAATATTGACCCCTTGATCAGTATTGACACTTTTCAAAATTTCATCGACCCCAAGTACTGATACCGTTGGGAACTCTTGCTGTAGACTTTAATGGCATGTCTACTTTCCATGCAGTCGAACGATGAAATATTAATTAAAGATTCTTTTCCTTTCTCTCTCCTATATCCTTGTATTTTGTTTCCTTTATCACCCTAAACCTGACGTAAACAACGCCTGGTCGTTCAGATGGGCGGCTCCATTATTTTGGAAATGGAGCTAATGTAAATAATATATCATCTCTTCTTTGTAGGACTTATAAATTCATCATTATTATTTCTGCTTGAAATGTATGTTAGAGTTATTTTAAGTTAACATGATATTTACATAACCATTATCACTTAATTTTGAAATCAAATTTTTCATCTAGGCCCGATTACAGTGACAGTCTTGGCGACAATCACTCAATGAAAAGAAACAACAGGAGATCTAGGCAGCAGGTTCCACCAGACGGCGCGTCGTCGCTGAACGCATCTAACGCCAGCCCAAAGTTTGAGAAGTACAACAAAAACGATAGTCAATGGTACGATATGAGGGATGGAGCGGACTCCATGTAGGTAGTGGTCTGACTTTTCTTCTTTCATTGCTAATTACATCTTGAGGTTTGGAAATGAATATTAGTTATATAATTTTTCTTATGATAACTTATTTATGTGTTGAAGAATAATGCAGCTTATATTGGTCCTTTGAATAATTATCTTGCTGACAGAAGACATTTAATTTTTATATACAGATTTGAATTATAAAAATATCAAATTTATTTATAATTATATAATTTAGAATTTCAGAGTAATAATAATTATAAAGTGTACTCTCGATTATCTGTAGACGGATTATTATCTGGATTATCTGGTTTGAGGACTATCAGTGCGTGGTGTTCACACATGCACGCTCAACCAGGGCCATTTTGATGATCCCCTCAAGATGGCCTTGGCTCAACACAACGCGCGAGAGTCTGTAAAAAATAACGGACGGTCTAGTAATGTCCACATTTTACAGCCATGTGCTGTTAGTTTAATTCAGTCGATGGGCCAAAGTGAAACAGCACCAGTGAAATGACTTTGCCGTTCGGGGCTTTTCATAATTCTTGCTGTGGAAGATGATGATTTAATGAAATTCCGGAAACAGTTGACTGTAGTGGATGCCATATACGTAGTAGCAAAAGCTTAGTCGGAAGTAAAAACAATACCACTCTTTCAATCATGGAGAACGATTCCTTCTAATATACAAATTGGATATTTATCTCATTGTGAAGCAATAACTGAACTTATTAAGGAAAAAAAAAAAAAAACGACAGTGTGAAATTCTTCAAAATTATTTGTCTGGAAAATATCTAGAAATGGTGCGAGGGTGATTCGACTGAGCTTTCAATGCGTGAGTGATGCAGATATCATTTCAAATGTCACAAAAACAGAAGACGCAATCATTAATACTGAAAATACAAGAGAGAAAAGTAGTGTTCACACATTAGTCCCGAGGCAGCAGTAACTTCTGCTGTAAATTTATTGGACCAAAAGGGATCCGAATATAGTGATAAAATAGCACTTCGAAAAATGCGCAGTGAAATTCGACAAATACTTAAAAGCTCTCGAAAACAAAATAATTACCCCGGATATTTAGAATACACTGTAATATATACAAGGAAATAATTTTCTGGTAATAAACTTCTACACAAAATATTTTGAAATATATAAATACTTTTAAGTATGTTTGAAAAAAAAAAAAAAAAAAAAAAAAAAAAAAAAAAACTCTATATGAAACAAAAGTCTGCCACAGTTCGACATTAGGTGTATTGTGAAAACTTCTTTCGTTTCAAGATGCCATGCAAGAGCTATCTCTTCAAGAAATAAAAGTATTCTGTGCTAGAAGAGAGTCTCAAGATAAATAAATGAGGTGAAAATAATGAAACGTACAACATCATCTATTAGACAGAAGGAAAAGTAAAAAACTACAGAGATAAAAAAGGCTCTCAAAATCTTCGGGGAGAAAAAAATGGATGCTGTTATTTAAAGGATTAGATTTTTACAAATCTGGGTGACTTGAACGAAATTTGATTACCTGATTAAAGAAATGTTTATGTAATTTAAGCGAAACTAAAATCAAAAGTTTGTTTATGAAACCAATATTTATTGTTCGTACAGTAGCTATGCTTACACTCGTGGTTTTAACTTCAATACAACCACACACATACTTAGAAAATTTTGACACTGGAACTTCAATACACCGAATTTGTAGGAAACAGAAAAACTCTGAATAAATAGGAAATTAAACTTGTGAAGTTTGTAGACATTAATTTTGAATTCTGCATTTTAACACACAGATCAGCTTAAGAATAATTTTAATTTATAATTTTTTTTGATAAACATAATCAGGTGACCCCTTACGCAAAAAGAGTGAACGATAAGATAAGTATAATGGTTAGCACTGCTGGCTAGCATATCGTTGGGGCCGGGTTCAAATCCTGGAGAATGCTTAAAAGTTTGTAAGTACATAGTGTTTGTGCAGTATGGGCGCACTTAAATACTGGAAAGCCGCGAATTTTCTCGAGAGGTTTCGTGGTAAGGAAAGAATGGATCGTACCTAAATGTCGCCAAATTTGGCGACAAAATAAGTCATATAAAAGAAATATAATTTTGCATTCCAAACGCATCCATCTCCTTGGTGGTTATCCAAACTGATACCGAGCATGAACCTTGGACAACTTTCTTGTTGATGAAGTAGGTAAATAACCAATAGGTACTGGCTATTCCCGAGGAATGCTCTAAGTTACACGTTTTCTATCATTTGAAGTTACAACGGAATATCTCAGATCAGTATACACGGAACGTTACGAGAATAAACCGCACTCAATCTGGACAAAATATTTGTTGACCAGGTTTGAGAGTAAAGAAAAATAAATCGTAACTTAATTTTTAAATTAAATTCCTTTCACAAAGACACCTGTGATCTCAGCGTTAAGGCCGGAAAATTCCGTACAGAAGGTTGCCTTCCACATTCATTATACATGAAAATTTCTGCTAGTTTTTAATGTATCTGATTTCAGCTTGGATGTGTATTGGAAGAAAAGGAATCAAAGTATAAAATGAGAGTCATTTTTTCATTAAAATCAAGAAAATATCACTTATTCATGACAATTTGAGGAACTTTGAAATTTCAACGCTCAGAGGGTTAAGATAGATTATTTAATGTGAAAGACTCCAGAAAGGATCATTTTAATAAGACTTAAATCTATATTTGAGAAACATCTTGCAGGGCTTGATTGCTGCCTATGCCCACGTTGCACATGCCTGTATCTCTAGGCTGTAGGGTATCCGAGAATTACCACATAATCTTCTTTATTCCTGTATAAAAGTAATAAATATGAGCGTTGAAGAGTCGCTGAATGTGTGCAGCAGCACTCAGGGCTTTGACCTGGTTTTATTAAGCTCTGTTCCTTCATAATTTATTATTATAATTAAAACAATATTTCCATTAATACTGCCATATATGAATTTTGTACTTAGATAGGTAATTTTCGTAGAGTTATATACAAAATTATATTTCTTTTGTACGATTTATTTTGTCGCCAAATTTGGCGACATTTGGATTCGATTCCTGTATCACCTAAATGTGTATTAAAATTGAATAAATGCTCGTAACTGACCACTATGTTAGCTGTTACCGTAATTCCGCCCTCATATTGCTTTCCAGTAATTTCGGGAAGCAGAAAGTACTAGAAATACCTCGGCGACCGGTTGAAAACAATACGGAGTTTTTAGCACGGAGAGAGAGCATTGTTGTTGCAACTTGTAGCTCCGCGTGAACTGAGATAAATCCGAGTTAGCTTTGCCCTTAGATGCTCTTTGCATTGCGTTGTGTTTAACGTTCTTAGTAGTTTGAAGTGTAATTACTGATTCTACTGTGTGATACTGTGAACATTTGTACGAATATTTCTATGAAAAATTCCAAAGTTCTCAAATATTTCTTTTGATAAAGAATACATTTTATTAACCTATTATCGGACTTGTGCATTCAAGCTATTACGCACGCAATAATGCATTTTACTATTATTGTAATGTAGTTAATTTAAGAGAATATATAAATTGAGTTTCAGCATTCTTATAGCGTAACATTCTGTCAAAAAATATTTCATGTTCAGGTTTATCGATGAAATTTCTTCATTAATACACTTTATTTGTTACCATAATCAGAAATATTTAAAATTATCAGTACTTGATATTTCGAAAAGAGAATATATATGCTTTTTGATGTATGGTAAGATTATGTCCTGAGTAGTTAGTTCACTCAGGACATTATTAAAATATCATCACTCGGAAATGGTTCTGTGCCCCAGATACTGTTGTGTGAATTCAATTTCAAATTTGATGTTTTGGCTGTTAAACACGCAACATATTTAACAGCGAAAACAACAAACCTGAAATTGAATTCACAATTCACCTTTGTAGTAAACGCGTTTTATATATCTTTCTTACATCAGCCTAAGAAATCCCTACAGTATCTTGAGTAGAGCAAAATCAAACAGAAATTTGAATTAGACGAGTATGTTTTTTGGAAATCTGAGTCATCTTCTTTCGATTAACAAAATGAATGTTCACTATTTTCTTTATGATAATGAATTTTTGATACTGAAGAGTCAAGTCTAAAAGTAAATCTAATAGCCACCTTGCGAATTAAACACATTATTAATGTTTATAAATCGGTAAGTAACTTCTGATATTGTTCGGCATTTGGCTATTTTAAGTAAAACTATGTGCAAGGTTGTCATTAAAAATACTTCCCCAATATATGAACCCCTAACCGCTTATCCGTTCAATGAATCGAAATAAAATTTCAGGTATTGTTATTTCAAGGTATGTGCTTAATGTTATAATAATTTAAAATAACAGAGCTCTCGCGGTTACGGTTACAGTGATGAAAACATTTCGAAATCTTCGAATGAGAACACCCACTTTTTTCCTTCGCAAATTATTCAGCGCATTGAAAAACCATAAATGGCTTTGGAACGACACACGTTTGACGAAACTGCAGTCAGATTCTCGAGTTAAGTACCACAACAAATAGAGAATCTAATGAGAACTGCGGAAAGAAGAAATTAATATAAAGGTTCAAATCTTAAATAACGGGTTAATTAACATAAAATCATCGTACAAAGTATTCTTGTTATTCTCTTGTTCCTATTACGTGGAACAATGGTTGGAGTTTACTCTAAACAGATGCTGAACTTCTATTTTCCACACCAAATTTTAAGGGAGAGCACCGCGGGAGGGATCTAGGGGTCTTGCACCCCTCTCTCCTTCCACCAGGCCATACGACAGTACTTTCGGCTCGCCGCATATTTAAGGTGCCGCCACGCCGCTCCGATATTTCAAATACACATTTTCAAACACTGCGCATTTACAAACATCATGTCTTACAAACATCATGTCTAAAAACATGTCTTCTCCGGGATTCGAACCCGGGCCTTCCGGTACACTGTAGTGGGCTTCCCTAACCACTATACCGTCTGGGCGACGTACAAAGTATTAAAAATAGTTGCGAAGAATTTTAAAATTAAGAAGTAAAAACAACAATCCTTGCTATAGATTACGTAAAATTTGGGAATGCCTATATTTACATTTGCTGTATTCCAGTCATAACTAAGAAAATATTGTTTGCCTTTTTATTTTGTATATTGAAGCTATTTGGAATTATCTTTGTAATCATAACCTTCTAATGATGTTTTTTACTTAACAGGGTATCCGGGTTTTCTAGAGGATCTGGATTTACTAGCTGGTCTTCTAGAAGAAACAACAATCCAGTCACTGAATTATAAAATTTTGCCATGTTGTTGAAAATGTCGAAGTGAGAATGAACTCTGTTATAAGATGTACCGTCTGAGGATAGATGTGTTTTCCGGCTACGAACTTTCTGTTAGCTCAGGAAAAAGTAACGTAAATGTCATTAACGATCTTCTTTCTCTCAGATTGGAAATAAAGTGCCGAATTTCTCGAATGAACTTTAAATTTCGAATTTTAAGTGATTCTATAGTGTGTGGCGTTGGCTAACTACTTATGCCTCATGCAATGTATACAAGGAAATGCACTTCTGGATTCTAGATTTGCTTTTTAACATATTCCATGACATTGAAATATTTCATTTAATAACAATTCTGCGAAATGATTTCTTTTAATCAAGTGGCAAGCTTTGTTGGATTGAACATTTGATTTCAAATCGAAGAATTCGAAAAGAAATGAGTCACGTTCTAAAAGAAGAAGAGTTTTACGTAACATTCCATTTTATTTCTCTTTACAATTGATCTGAAATGTTATCGAGACAAATGCTTAGTTATTTATATGAAAAGACTAATAGTAACATTTCGAAAAACATGCTTTGTAAAGTTACTGTATTTACAATTTTTCAGGTTTATTATAAATTGCTTTCAGAATTACACTGCAAAGGGTTTTATTTTTAAAAAGAAGTTTGTAGTCAATCATTTAACTATTCATTACTATTATCACGGAATATATAACAATATTTTTCCTCAAAACTTAAAAGAATGTGCATTGATTTCCATGTGAACATTACGATCGAATTATGTGAATTATATTAAATTAAAAATTTTTATAGCTATTTACTCACTAAATATTGAGAAATTAGATACGTATTGAAAATATTGAGAATTTAGATACGGATGTAACAATTAACTTATATTTAAATATTACTTTATTATTATATTTTTAGACAGTTAGCTTTAATTAAAGCTTCAACAGGGAATGAGAAATAAGGAATGATGTATGACCATATAAAAATTATTCCTTATATTATCCGCTGTGTAATTGTATCTCAGAGGCTTAAAAACTAATAAAAGACTGGTGCTTTAATTAAAAGACTGGTGCACTTTTTTCAGTTTGCGCCAAGAGTAATTCACTTCGCGAAATTTTAATTTATGGTAACCTATTTTACTTTCCCTTTCGTCGCGCAGGAGCAGAGAAAAGGTGCTTCCTTCATTTTTTCTAAAGAATTTTAACAAAGTGTTAACCAAATTTAACGTTATTTTCGCTCACAACAAATATGCCAAGTTTTTAAATGCTCCTATAGATAGATTCACGTATATCTTCGGAAATTGTGAATAAAAAACTCTAATGTTTTGCAGGTACGAATAGAAATCTATTTTCTTTAAGGTGCTGGTAAAACTTTTATAGATTATTATAATAAATTGTTTTCTAAAAATTTACAAAAATTACCAAAAATGCAAATTCAAAAAACAAATCGGAAAATATCTGCGAATTTTATTTAGATTGAACTTAAATTTCGAATTGTGAAAGAAGGTATCAAGTAAGTTTAATAAAAGAAAAAAAGATATTAACAAATACGTTTTAAAATCAATTAACACTGAGGAGCTAAAATTCTGAGAAATAATTTTTTTAAATCTTCTCGCGCGATTTTTACAAAACTTGGCACTTTGGCATAACTTGAGTCATAGAATCGAAATATGAAAAAAAAATGGTATTTCGGTTTTTGTAAACGTCCGATTTAATGTCAGAATTTCTATGTTGGAACAATACTTTATATAAATCTAATATATATCTTAAGTCGCGCTATCGAGACATGAAAAACGCAAGTAAATTTCGTCAATCGACTCAGTAGGACGCGAGATATAGAACTGTTCCAATTTTTTTTAGTGTAAAGTGTACATAAAAGATTAGGAATCAGGTATTAAAAACTATTAACTCTGAAGCAACGTGTAAGACCGTGTTACAATTACTCCAAATATGAGCCGAAAATGCGTATTTAACGTATCTGTTCCCATTCATTTTGTCATATGCTGCCATTTTTTTAGCATTCCCGATAATTAACCCTTCATGAAATTCACCTTCATTAATATTTATCAGGAGTACTTAAAACGGCCAATACTTAATATTACAGATTTTATTTTGTATTGTTTTATTCGCTTTATTTACAAGGCTATTTTTTAATTTTAATTTATTACCGAATATGTTTATTACACAATGTCATTGATTCTTTTTCTAATGCTTTTGCAAACTAACTCGGGTAAAATGTGTCTGAAGAGTTTTATGAGAACTTATTTGTAGTCAGAGTCTGAAGTTTTGTAAGTAAAGAAGACTTAAAACGTGTACAGAACGTACAGATTTTTGTACGGGAGAACTGAAATGTAGTGAATTTCTGCATTTTGTATTACATTTGCAAATCTGTACAATATATATTTAAACACTGCACACGGATTGCACTGTATGTCCAATGTTGTTTCTTGTAAATATAATTCTTAGACTTATACTAATTGTAATAAAGATTTATATATAAAAACATCAGGTTAGTTTTGTATTGAATACATTTTAATATCACTTGAACTACTTGAACTAATACATACACTGAATGAATTTCAGAAACATTCTGGTTATAATCTAAGCTAAGAGTATTTACAAACGTAAACGTATAATGCTTGGACGCTAACGATGGAGGACGTAAAACTCATATTCTCTACCTCGCCGTGGAGGTAATAAATGGGCTACCCCAAAATGAATAGCTTTTGATGTATTGAGACATCCTCCTGTTATTGTATGATGCGGAACTAATTATTAAAACACTTCATTAGTTTATGTTTACCTTACTGTAATTCCCCTTCCATCAATCATTCGGCCTTCCTTCACAATTAAGTTTGGCGGCTCTGAAAGAATCTCTCCACCACCCTAGAGAATCGTATTTATTTAAAATTCTTTTTATCTGATGCTGACAGTCTACGCTGCCGTGCGTTCGCTCTTTTGCCACGGATTCCATACATCTTGTTCTAATAATTTCTTCTCCTTCTAGCCTTCTGTCAGCCTGCAATCTGTTACATTTAAGATAGGCATTCCAAGGTCGTAGAGATTCTTCCTACATTGTCGATCCTAGCGCGTGTCGTCATCACCGCTTAGAGGGATTTTTAGCAAGTTGAAGGAATCAACCTTTTTTCCCGTAGCAGTCGTTGCTATGGTAATGAGTCATGGTCGGGAGAGAGGACGAGACCTTGAAGTGCCTATTCTAATGTAACAGACTACAGTGCTGTAGCTGAAATTTTTTCTGTCGCCCCTTCTGTGATAGCCTACTCAATTTCTTATGGTCATCTGAATTTGTGCGACTAACACTCAACAACCATTGCTCCAATCTTTTGCTATCGTTACTCTCGATAATTGCTTCTGTCTCTCTATGTAAAGAAACCTTCACATTGTGAAATGCTTTGTTCCTAAATAAGAGAAAGTTCCCATAAAAACATCTGCACTGGGACTGCGCAACCATATGGGAACCATATTTGCGAACTGAATTTGCCTGAGTCTGCAACTCTGCAAATTCCGCTGATCGCCGCGATTTATCGTGCGTTTCGCACGACTTGTTTCAGCTGTCCAATGTAGTTGTCTCAACGGGCGCTTAAACTAGTTTGATTTCAAATCCCAGGTAGACAATATCGAAGATGGAGAAAAAGGTGTGACAGGTTTGTCACGTATGCATGAGGTGACATCTGATTGGTTGAGCAGCTCATGAAAATGCAAGTTCTTTGGTCACGTGACGAAGTCACCCACAAGGTGGGTACGATGATTAGTGCTGCACAACATGAGGCAGTCCTTCAAAATAATAAACATAAATATCACATGAATAATACTGCAGTGAATAAAAATAAAGTGAATGAAAGTAATATATACATATATACAGAGTGCAAAGTTCACAGCAAGTGTTCATTGTCCAGCTGTACCTTGTATACCTCCCGCTCAGTTTGCAGTAGTAACGCATATCCGAAGAGTTGACGTTGAACTACCAATGGCAGATGGCAAAGCCAAACTGACAAACAGGTTTAGGCTCTTCCGAACACTGACGTCTCTTAATTACAGAAGTGTGAGAAACGAAGACTAAACGAAAGTGGGGAAGAAGTTGCTTTTGAGTAGAAGGAGTCAGTGACGTCATACAAGAACCAGTTTTGTAGTGTAAGATGGTTCCCTCGAGACAAAAGAAAGTCTTTGCGATTGCCCGGTTAGAAGATATGGAATATCTAAAGAAGAATATTTAATTAATTGCACAGTTGACTGCGAAGAGTTGACCTCAGAAACCTGTTAATTGAAACCTATGAAATATAATTCAAGTAAATATTTATTTTTCAAAGCAACAAAATATCCTGTTCGATTGTTCAAAAGTTCGTCATTTCTGAAGTCTATTTTGTAAGATTTTCATCGTTTTGAACAATATTCGTGGAGTTAAACAACATAAAAGGTGCGTAAAAAAGGAAAACGTAGCTTATGTAATAATGAAAATACATTAAATTTGTATGCTATTATTTTCATATTAGTAATGAAATACTTTTTAGATTATAAATACATTAAGAAATATATTTTTATTACAAAAGCTACATACTGAAACATTGCAAATTTATGGATTTATTATTATGAATGATGAAAACATTTGTATATACATTCATTAATATAAATCTTATTCATTGCATTAATACTATTAAACATACATCAACAACTTCTAAACCATCACATCTCTCTCTCTCTCTCTATATATATATATATGTTTGAAATATATGACTTATTATATGTATGAATACAAAAATGAGCATTGCCAAAATGTTTACTTGAAGTTACTTCTAAATTCATATAAAGATCAGGTAACTGGCAGCAACTGCGGTTATCAGTTCTTTGTAAATTAGCATGGATATGAAATACTCAGTTGAAAAATAATTGAAGTGCATTTTGTGCATTAAAATTCACCGATTTACACACAACCTTTGAATTTGCAATTTACTTGTGAATTAAAAAAAAAAAAAAAACTTAACAAGTAGCCTTTACGAAATATTTAACATTTTGGGGATAAAATAAATATTTTTCACTCAGCACAAAGCATATATCAGTAAATGACATTATATTGTGTGCATAAAAGTTATTAAATAAATATATGGATACAAAAATATTACAAATATATATTGTATGTACACGGAATTTGAAAGCAAACGTTTCTTTCACCAATCTGAGCAATA